TACCTGATCTATCAAAAATCATATCAAAGTCCAATTTTATATAGGTGCAGTTTGACCTATATAAAACATCGGACATGACCCACACGATAATTTATACACTCCTGATTTTTCTGAAACTGAACTTTTATCTTTGTTATTTTTAATGTGCATGCCTAAGTTGTTGTTGGTTTTGAAAGCAGTATTGACACCTTTGCTGTGCAGAAAATCTGAAATATTTGTAGTGGCCTAAGTAGGTTAAGGTTCTCTAACTTCTATCCTCTTCTCTTCGAATTGGGTAAACTTCTTTCAAAGCTTGACTATATAACTTTTTTGATAATAAAGAATGTATCAGACCGCTATCGTAATTATCTGATACATTCTTTATTATCAAAAAAAGTTATACAGTGTGTAACAAGAAAAACTTAACAGAGCCGTTTTTTAATATAAAAAGTAAGATTTATAAAAAAGCTCGGACACGTCAATTTCTAATTGAAGGGGGACACCTTTCAGACTAATCAGACAATCATCCTCATTGAGTTCATGAACAAGTTTAATTTAGTAAGGATGGAATTTGTGGTTCTTAAGGATTCACCATGCGCTCATATGGCTTATTCCGGCCATTACTGATAAACCTCTGGTACTTAACCTGGGATTGGCGATGACTTGATCAATCACTCCAATCGCATTATCGTCATCCACTACCCTTCTGTGAACATTTCTGTTCTTACTTAAAACCGAACCTGTCTCCCTGAATTTTGTGACCAAATCCAGAACGTGATTTTTGCTTAGGTGTTTACCAGGGTTTTGCTCGTTAAATAAAATTGATGTTCTATTAGCATTTTGGTCGTTGCCAAAAAATAAAGCAATAACTGAAACCCTTTTAGCAGTAGTGTAAGGCATTTTTAAACAAATAACAATACACGACCCGTTTCAACAAAACAATCGAACGTTTTTATTCAACAAAAAACTGATAAGAAGAACTGCTCGAAATTTTTTTTATTTAGGCATACAATTTACCGAGTGGTCTGTCTAATGTATTATTAACATGGCAATTTTAATTTCAAATTATCTCGAAAACTAATCGTTACAAACATTTTCTTTTAACAGAGTTGTGAGGGTATTCGAAAGACCTTTAAAACAAGGTGCCACTCGACCTACTTTCCCTTTCTAAATAAGAGTCGTCGGACGCACCCCTCCAAGGGGGTGCGTACTACAAAAAATCTGATTAGTCTGAAAGGTGTCCCCCTTTGATTAAAAATTGATGTGTCCGAGCTTTTTTCATAAATCTTACTTTTTATATTAAAAAACGGCTCTGTTAAGTTTTCCTTGTTACACACTGTATAACTTTTTTTGATAATAAAGAATGTATCAGATAATTACGATAGCGGTCTGATACAGAGGATAGAAGTTATAGAACCTTAACCTACTTAGGCCACTACAAATATTTCAGATTTTCTGCACAGCAAAGGTGTCAATACTGCTTTCAAAATCAACAACAACTCAGGCATGCACATTAAAAATAACAAAGTTCAGTTTCAGAAAAATCAGGAGTGTATAAATTATCGTGTGGGTCATGTGTCCGATGTTTTATATAGGTCAAACTGGAAGAACGTTCAAAGCCCGCATAAAGGAACACAAATATAGTTTTCAGAATGGAAAAATGAATTCCACATACGCCAGTCAATTAATCTCAGACATGAGTTCAACCATGAATACAAACCCCTCCATTTCCAGAAGAAAGGTTTGAAACTTAACCTGTTGGAGAGTATGGAAATAAACAAATTCGAAATCTCTCAGTATCTTATGAACGATCAAACTGAAATTAATAATTCGCCATTATTGAATCTGTTCATTCGCAGGCAAAAATAGTTAGGTATATTTACAGGTATACTATCAGGTATACCTGACCTTTGCAGGCAGATTCATTATTCAGGTAGACGAATAGGTACTAGGTTATAGTATATAATGGTGTAATTTAGAAGTAACTTCTCAGTTTACGCTTGAAGAAGCGAAACTAGCGGTTTTTGTCGCGGTTTTTGTAAAACCCTTATAGTGAAAATCATACAAATAAACTGTATTGATTAGTTGTTTAACATGTATTTTCATCAAGTATCGGCCAGTTCTATTCAATCAACTTTCAAAGCTTATAATGGTCTTGCAGCTATTCAGCAGCAAGTCTTGTTTGAAATTAATTGAGTAGATCACTCCCCACCCCCTCCAACAGACTGGTTTCGATGTAATAATTCTCATTAGAGAAGTGATACCCTGCTTTATTCTTGTTCGGGGATTTATCTACGAGAAAAAGCTATTACTAGTTAACACATATTTCTCTCAGACGAAGGTATCGTATATGAAATGGATCCACAATAGAATTATTCGAGTTTCAGGTACACTGCTGTTTGGGTTGGATTTTTCTCTGACTGATGGGAGGTCCGAAACAGATCAGCAGACAATGTTTTCATTTTATAGACATTATTACCCTTTAACAACACAATGAACATTCGTATTTTTTTTTTGTAAATTTTTGTATCAAGTACCTAATCCTTTTCTCAAGGCTGATTTCACATAAATCAAATTTTATACGAATTAACTATCGACGGCACTGAACTTACTTTTCTAAAATACTTCTATTGTTGCAAAAATCGAAAATCAAAAATTATGGCTATACAAAATATATGAAATTATGCGTGTTGTTACTTTGAGAAATGGAATCAGATTGTCTCGTGATACGAAGCTTCGGATATGTCTGCTCCTGTGAAAACTGTCTTGTCAGCATCTCGATTAGGGTGGTGGTACGGGATTGTCCTAGGTGGTAGGTTAATTTACGGAATATTTTTATAATTTTCAATCTGGAAGTAACGAAAAAAATAGTTTTTGGTCAAAAAGCGATTGTTGTTTAATTTTGTACAATTTAATAACATCTCACTCCATTCACCATTTTTTAACGTTTCGGCTTTGCTTGATTTTTATGACAGAAAGAATAAATGAGTTGTCGATATATATTAAAAACTATCAGACGTTTATACACTCGGTTACATATTGAAGATGTATTCAAATAACTAAAGGAATGCTATGCTATTTACATATGCGAAATCAAATAGAAATCCTTTTTGGAAAATATGATTGATGGGCTATACCCTAATCGTCGTATTTCGAACATTCGAATGTTCAGAAGATTATAAAAAAAATTGGCTGTGATGCATTCGACAGAAATAAAAATAAAATTGAAAAAGTGTTGTTACTGGAAGTCTGAGGAATGAAATATGTTTTGGATAGGCAAATAGTTACATAGATTAACCAAGTAGAAAAAACTATTTTTAAGTTAGGATTTGAAAAACAACAAGTACAAATGCTACAGGATATACTCAATGGAAGGGATTAGGAAGGGAGTACAATTTGTGAAGTGGTTGAGACTAGAAATAGGAACATCGAAAATATTTGTAAAAACATAATATAGACGGACGAATCGAAATTCACCAAGAATAGTTGGTTTAACAGCAACATCCATCTGAGGTGGAATACAGCAAATTAACATTCACATAGTGAAACCAATTCTCACGATAGGTTCGGAATGCAATTTTAGTTGGGAAGTTTTGGAACAAACATACTAAGTCCTTTGTTTCATGATGAGCATTCGAATGGTGAAATGCAACCACATTTTTCATCCAATGAGTTTGATGGCTACTCAGATAAATTGCCACTAAACACCCGCCGTGAAATACAATATGTTAAATAAGGAGAAAGCACCTTTCCATAATATCACAATAGTGAGACACATTCAAATGCAGTTTACAATGGATCACTTGTCTGGCTAGCTTGATCCCCAGACCTTACTATTTTAGATTTTTTGTCTGACGATAGATAAAAGACAAAGTTTTTCAACATGTAGTACAGATATCAACCATCTCAAATAAAAAATTGATTCATGTGATAGTATTACAACCATCATACTAGAAAATTGCCACAGAAATTGTATGACGACAACTTATATGCAATCAACAAAGAGGTGAACTAGAGCATCTAATGTAGTTTGTCATGTATAATTCATTTTTTGTATTTGTTTCATTCTCTCTTAAAAATTCATTATAACTTGATTTTGTGTAATGTGTAACTAGGTTTGTAATGAATTAAATGATCTGAGCTTGTGTAGGTACCAGTTGCCAGATTCGAAAAAATTTCCAGTAACGGGGAATTATTCAATTCCATTTGGTCGTTCAGTAAATCACCCGAATTCCAAAATGTATTTACTTCTACATTCTAAAAGATTGAGTTCCAAACTTTTCTTTTCAAAATGTGAAATGTCATATTCATGATTGAACCCATGCAAATGAGGAATTGGCCTTTCCATTCAAAATACTACTTCTATTCTCTACAATTCTTTGGGAAAAAGTTCTCCCTGTTTCGCCAATATTAATTTTTGGACAAGAGCCACAAGTCAACTTATATACTCCTGATCTAATCGACACTGAAGTTTTGCCTTCAATGTTTTCAATGAATATACTCAAACTTTTATTTGTTTTGCAAGCTATGTGTAAGCATTCATTTCTGAAAAAACGAGCGACACTATTGGCGGGTCCACCAAAATATGATAATGTCCTGAAGAAGTCATTGTATGACGAAACACTGTTTAGTAAAAATCTCACAATAAAGTGTTTTTTGAATACGTTAAGGATTTTCATCAAGTATTGGCCAATTCCATCAAATATTATTATGTCGTTTACATGAGTGTGAAATTAATATCTGCATAGTAACTGGTGAATTCAGGTGACATTGTTCAGTGAGCCTGTATGATAACAATGTGTAGATGAACAGTATGAAGCTATTATATATGAAACACATGTTGCGGTTTCATAAACTGTTCATCGAAAATCTTTCAATGGAATGGCTAATTCCATAACATATATAGTTATGTAAAAATTGAAATTCATACTCTCAATACCCAATTACATTAGCTTAGGCTTTTATACTATTTCTTCTGGCTTCTCGATCATGTGCTTTATTAACTGGTGGCGGTTATTTAGCTCGTTCTCGGTAGAACCTCAGTAGCGGCGACGTTGAGACGGAAGAGCGCTTGTAAGAACCGATGAGAGAATCGACAGGGGGGCCTTATCATCGCCATATACTCGATCAACACCAGCCCACCTTTCCCTACCGACCCCAGCAGAGCGAGTCTGTCGATACTCTCACCACTACAGCTACCGGTTCGCAACATACAGGTAAATATATATTTCATATACTTTGAGTTAGTGATAGATTTTAATACCACAATCCATATTAAATAAGCATTATGTCATTGTACTTTCTTATTTTGAATGCAAGACTGTGCATTATGTTCAATTTTAGAATTCTTCAGAAATATTTTTTGAGAAAAAGTCTTTTTGATTTTCCTCTTCTCCATCATTAACGAAAAATGGAAAACTTCCAAAGAAAGGAAGTAAAATAAATCCAATAAAACCTCTTTCTGAAGAAATGTAATGCATACACAGATGCAAATTCGAAAAAAATACTTTCGAAACGACTACTTTCATGTGATTAATGAATTACACAAAAGTCACTTTTTCCTATCCAGTTTGTTTGAATCTTTTCAAAATATGTGTATCCGTTAACCATATGTCTCCTCCTACGAATGACAACTATCAAAAGTCGAAACTTGTGCGAGCTAAGGACTAATGAGGTCTTACCTTTTAACGTGTGATATCTAACCCGGGTTTGTACTGCAAACATTCGTTATGGAATTCATAGGAATCATCATTCACAGGAAAACCACACAATGTGATATATGAAACTAAATGTCACTCAAAAGGATTACTATCGTACCCAATGGTAAAATTTCGAGATAATGCACTTAGTTGTTCACCTCATCAGCTCCGTTTTGAACAACATTATAAGATGAAGCACTCCTTTTTTTATAACATGAATACACTATCCCCTGAATATGCCAACTAGGTTGGCGTCGAAAAGAGTAATGCAGTTCTGTTGATTGGGAAAAGTGCTTGTTTTGGAGTTTTCAGTTTCAACTTCTATCGGGCATCTAATACAAAGATTCATTTCACCTAATCAATATCGAAAACTCATTTCGTTAATTTTGAAAAATTCAAATCAATTGAGTTTTCCTTTACAGAATTCCGTATCTATTTGGATAGTTTCGAGTTCACATGCTGTCAATTTTATTTTAACAGAAATGGACTAACTAAATGGACGAAATATTTACTGATGACTCGACTGTTATGGTAGTTTACGAGTACAGTGGTTCTGTACCGTATACTTTGTCTTATCGTGAAATTCTGCTGCAATTCAGGTATTACATCTATATAGTCGAGTCAAACATTGTACGAATATAGTCCTCTGAAATCTGAATTATAAGTATGCAGTAGCACTAATTGAACATAAGGACTGACAATTCCGGCTGTACAATGGTGAACTCACAATAACTAACGAATACAAACTATATAAAAGTATTGAAACTGAAGTCTGACTGTTATCAATAAAGTATTGGAAGCTGAACTTTCAAATGAAATATGTTTGAAACGTTTTTCCGTTAAGCAGCTGTCGCATCCCTACGAACGACAACCCTCAGAAGTCTAAACTTCTGCAAGCAAAGGACTAACGAGGTCTTACCTTTCGATGTGTGATTCCTAACAGTGATTGGACGATAGCAGGTGAAAATCGATCGTTCAGCCTGCGGCTTGAACCACCAACTTGCACGGCGGTCGATTCAGTGATTGAACTAAGCACCCACGTCGAACCGACCGGCTACCGACCGACCGGTAGCCGGTCTTCTTGAAAGCTTGTAATCCCGAGCAAGAAAGTCAACATGATCATATATCAATGGATACTTTTTATTTTTACGTGTACGTGAACTTCATATATATGTTCCCATTGAAGAAACTTTTCCCATGCCAGCTCAAAAATATTCTTCAAATACGCGTTTCGCTAATCAAGTTGCATCGTTAGATGGCTACAAATTTTTCTTCAGAGATTTTCCATATGAAATCTCTAATTAAGTGAAAGATACCCAGATATATAATTTGCACATGAAGACGGCGATTAACGTTACCAAAAGTCATATTGATCGACTTATTGAATGAGACACGTTTTTTATTTCCAATAACATTCCGTTCAATTTGAAATTCTTCTACTCGTCTATAGTAAAATTCATGCCATTTCATCTCGAAGTATAAATTGTCCCTTCTAGTAAAAATGAACTCGATTTGTAAAAAAACAGAATTTCAAATATATCCCAGTTTAGTGTATTTCATGTAACATGGATCTATTTCAATAATAGAAATGCATTGTGTCAGTATTATCCTTAAATCCGATGGATATATGTCCGGTATTAAAAAGACATCAAAGATAATCCAATAACAATAACAATGATGATACATGAATGAGTATACTCTTATCTGTCAGGTAAAGCTGGATAACATATGAGTATACAGGATTACACCCATCTTGAATCATTGGCTTTACAAAAATATTGGTGCAAATTTTTCAAATTATAACATATCAGTCACACAAGAAAATACACCTAGAAGTATATATCATGTTTCGAAACTTTTAGTAACATCACAGCATACAATGAAGTGGAGTAAATGATTTCTTGAAAATTTAATTGGCAGAGAATATAACGAAATATTGTTCTCCAAGAGTAACACTACAATTGCAAAATTTGATTCAATACTGTCTCGCTTGAGGTCATCCCTTCAGTTAGTATTTGAAGCCCAAAGCACTTAATCTGGGGCTGTCCAATTTCAGATACATCCTTACAGCTGAGAGAAATCACAAGCGAAAGCTAAAATGGCAATTACCGAAGGAACCGCCAGTCTCATGCATTTCAAATCTGCAAAATTGAGTTGATGCAATGCGAAGGAATGGACCGTCCGTAGATTTCCGGGCAAGTGACCACATATAACGCCCTTTGAACTTTATGTATATTAATTATCGTTAGGGCGATTTGGCTCCATTAATCAGGCGGTTAACGCGTTGAGCCCCTAGGAATCGAAGAACCCAGGTGCATTTCGTTATCTGCCGGATCGTCCTCCGATAACCATTTCCATCCTGCCGCCACCCGTGCTTTGGGATGGGGAGATTAGGGTTATGGTTAGTAGAAATTCACGGAGTTCCGCTGTGGTTGTGGTTTAACGGAAGCAACAAATTGGAATGAATACATATGTGGAAGTTCATATTTGTCTAATACCGTTAGGGAATACAAATCCGAGAGGAGTAGACCGTTGAGATACGTTCTAGAGAAATGGAGATTTTGTAGGAACTTTTTATTGTGACATTACTCAAAGATTTCTATATTAATTAAGTAGCTATGAAACGATTTGAGTACGTAGTAGTTGATGAATCGATTCTAGAAAGTTTATGTCTGTTTAGATTTCTACTGAATATATATCTAATACCACTCCCAGATATTTCAACGTTCATAACAATTTTATCATTGAGTTTCTTTTAGTAGATTGTTTATGGTACGACAAATATTCAATATCGATAACTTGTAGCGCGAAACTCTGGGGGATTTACTCTTCAAACGATGTTTCAGGAGAAAGGATTGTGTTATCTAGGTGGTGATCATTTTGAACAATATATTTGATGCATGCCTACTTCAGGATCAAACAATCAAAAAGGGGAATTCTTCTCATTAAAAATATTTGAAAATTCAATGCGCTTTATGGGCTTTGGCGAACTAATGGTTGGCATAAATCTCACTTTTAACGTCTCACTGCTAAATGTCTCATTACAGACTTTGAAATTCATCCAAGATGCAGCTGACAATTTATAATAACAATAAAATTAGTTATTATCCTAACTTATCAACTTCTGGCATTCCATGGAAGTAAATTTATATCGTGAACAAATTTTTGGCTTCGAATCGAAAAAACCAATTAAATTCATAGGTATGAGTAAAGATTGACAACTTATGCGCTGACATAGAATTTAACTACACTTTTAACGAAAAAATCATATCTACTACTTATTCCAAGAAATTGACATTGTTTTTTCATAACGTGACATGTTGAGTGAGAATATCACAAGTGTCATTTGAATAAGTTGTAATGGATTTTCATCAAGTTACGGTTAGTTTCATCATACAGGGTGTTTCAAATTCGATCCTCACTATTGGGATCTCGGAAACTAAGAACGATACGAAGATGGTTAAATTGGGGCACAACCATTTTTCGCCAAAAATTCAATGACTTGTACAATAACAAAATGTCATTGAGTTTAACAAATTGAAAGTCAAATTTAGAAACATCAAAGTCAAAGCCTATTATGATAAAAAATAATGTGTTTCAATATCTCCAATTTTCGAAAAAGGATGATGAATTATGATACATCATTGAAAAGATAAAATCTAGTTCTATTCAAAACAGAAAGAATCCAATATAGAGCCGAGGAGAAAAAATAAAGTTGATGATGGTTGCCGTAAGACGAAACGTCGAATAGCAAATCTGAAAACCCCAGTATGTAGCAGGAAAAAGGTGGCAATGGGGAAGTGCAATTTATTTCCGAATCCTTCGAAAAATAAAGCCAGAAAAAAATAAAAACCATTTTCCACAATTTCTGTTTTTTCCGGATATCTCCGAATTTCAGAATTTTCCAACGGCATAAAGGTAAATGCGCAACTTTGCCCCAATTCAACCATCTTCTATCTTTCGTAGTTTCCGAGATCCCAATGGTGAGGATCGAATTTGAAACACCCTGTATACATTCATTTTCATATTTGAATTGTTTCCATAGGTAAGTCTATTTTTTTTGTTGGGGATCAGTAACCTAAAACCTATTATTGCATTCGATTTTTGAAGTACCAATGAAAAATATAGATTCTGAATTATAAACTGCAGCAGATTATTGAAATCTCGAGCACCTTTTGGAAGACTTGTAATTATGCCAATAAATATAGTCCATATGATCTATTTCCAAAAATAACTATACTTAAAGAAGAAAGTAATACAAATCATGAAATTATGAAACAACAAAAATTGATTGGCGCTCCGGGGCGACTTCATTGATTCCAGTGGCGCATTTGCTATTTCTGCTGCAGGAAAACCCGGATAAACCTGCAGCACCACATCATCTGAAGATCTTGATCTGCCAATGTCCTCTCTTTCATAAAACAAGATGTAGGGTGTCTCCAGAGGCTCCAATAAATTCAAGACATCGCCGGAACACGTAGTGACACGACTTTCGTCAAATTCAAACCAGTCCGTTTCGTCTTTGATCAATGCGTAATAATGACCAGATTCGCCAAAACCACAGTGAACAATGATTACATGAAGATTTTAAAAGTGGTCTGCTGAATTGAAGTGTTCATCTATTTCGAAAATTCGTTTGTTACTCCTGAATCATAATGTAATTTGGAAAAATAAAATGACACCACTACTTGAGAGTATCTCAGATAAAAACAGAAATCAGCTTAGAAATCCCCGAAATGTACCAATTTTTAGTTTTAATATCAAAAGTTACTTTGTCATCTCTCGATATATTGCATACATTCTCATTTCATGTGAATTTTTATGAATATTTTCACTCATGTTTCTGCATCATTCTTACATTGCTATCAATTAATTAGTCAACATATTGTACGCCTGTGTATTGTGGACAGTTTTTCAGCTAGAACTTCTAGGAAATAGTAAGCTCATTATCGAAACTCAAAACGATGAACACCATTTTATTCCATTAAGAATTCTTTGAAATATTTAAAACTCAATCAGGTCCCCTAAACTTGTGTTCTAGTCTCAGCGGAAGCAGTCGAGGTGGAGGAGCATGAAGGGGGCTTCGACGGAGAGTTCGAAACTAGGGAGACGCTCAAGCTGACCGCCCGCTCCCCGTTCCAGCGCGACGCCTACACATCGACGCGTCGCCCATCCATCAGCACCAGAGGCCGAGCGCGGGATGAGACGACGCAAGAAATACAAGATGAAGACGAAGCCACTCTCAGAGAGCTGCTTATTAGGTAGATTAACTATAGCGATGCAAAAGCTGACCAGCAGGTCGGGGTAGTTCTGCTAGTAGGAGAGTGATCTTTTAATTACTAATGACCACCATCTCTCTCAATGAAAATGCAAAGTGAAACACTTGATGACAAAAATAAGATTTTCACCACATCTCAAAGAACATCACCCAACTTATGAGTCAGTTTCATAAATGATTCAATTATGATATGATATTTCGATCTACCCTTACATCTCAAACAGCAGCTATTCTATTATTCAACTGCAGAAAGGAAGTTTTATCTACGTCGTTTTCAAAGGACTATTTCTATAGAATCATCATTGTGTGAAATGGAATGCATAGTTTGTTTCATCAAAATATATACAATCACAACTTCACTCCATGGTAACTTTCACAATGTCTACATATTTTGCCCTGAATCATTTTTCCAAAAAATGATGATCTTTATGAGAAATAAATGCAGTCACAAAATCCTCAGGAATATTCATTGTTTGGCGGTGAACACAAATTGAGTTCGATTCAAGCTCTAGAAGTTTTTAAATCCCTTATCTTTCTAGAGTTACTGAGTTGAATTAAAAAAACTCATAGGAAATTCGTATTTTCATTAAGTATGTTATAACGAATAATTTTCACTTGTCAATAAAATTGCAAAAAAGGCAAAAATTATATACAATATTGAAGATAACTCAAAGACAGTATGAGTAGGATATCCCTGAATGAATTATCACAAACTGACCACAGGACAACTGATTTTCTACAGCATTTCAGAAAATTATCTGTGAGATGTATACAAGTCGAAGTGTAAATTTCGAGTACGACTGAGGAGAATGTATCGACATCCATTAACACAACGATCTCTCATTCCAATATCCACCTCGACTGCAGTTGCTCAATGCTCAGATACGGACCGCAAGTTTGCCAGGACCTTGACTCAATTTCTGATTTTTTTGACCAAAGTGAAAACTTACCTTACTAGTTATCTGGTTCTTCGAAAACTGAAATGACGAGCATTACCAAATGTATAACAGAAATGCGACATGAGAGTAGTTTTGAGTGAAAAGTAATGTTTGCAAAGGTTGTCTCTCTGCCAGAATCCTATACGAATTGTAACTGCCAAATGCTATAAATCTGACACAATATGGAATATTTTCACCAATCTGGTAAAGAAGGTCAGCACCATAAATGTTTGAATCGGGAAATAGGAATCCTGTGACGCATTTCAGAATGACGCCCATCAGCAAGAGAATACCCTCTCTTTTATCTCAGATAACCTGTAGCTATTCAGGCTACCAAGGAAAGTGCTTCTTTTGAAATCGTATCTGTGGACTGTCTCCTGGTATATTCTATAACAGCAATAAAGGCATACTGATTGTTTGATATTGAGATTGTCTAATTTTCAAGAGGCGAAATCCCCATCTTAATGACCGTAACAACCTTTCCATAACAGGGCATCTGTGAGTCAGCTACACCTGACGATACATTAGGTTCAGCTATGTAAGATTTTTTCGCCTCAGGTTTGGGTAAATTAGCGTTCGAGCATAAGCATTTGCTGACCTGCTCAGAAGAAGTTTGACTCCTGTCCTCATTATTCAAAATGTTTTTCATAACTTCAAAAAATTGATAAATCGGTTATATCGAAGTCAGAATCAACGAGCACTTCTTTTTGAAGTACAAAATTTTGCAAATTAACGACCAGAAATGAAAAATTGGAATAACTGCTATAGAAATAATAAAATGTTTGCTTCAGATGCCATTTCTGCCGAAATGTTTTTGTCACTAGTACAACTGAAATCTATATACTATTTTTTGTCGAGTTGGTGAAAAGATAATGAAAATTATAGAGGATTTGAAGAGAAAGTATCACAAAATGAACTTATTTGATGATATATGGAAACAAACCATAAGTGGAGATGAAATGTCAAAATCAGTTAAGCAACTGACTAGTTATCGACATGAATGAAAGTAAAAACTGTGAATTTTTTTTGTTTGATCAGATCAATCTGCATTTGAGAAAACAGAGTGACCTACAACATTTCACACTAATTCAAATGAAACTCCCCTACTAGCAGAATTTGTATGCACAAACTCATCTTTTCGACTTATTGAAATTAAAATATTGTTACAATATGAAAGAATAGGGAAGACTTATATACAATATCAAGAAGAATATCATGACGATATTTTGTTACGTCATAGCATTTTCAGATGTTTTCAGTTCAGATCTGATTTTTTAAAACGAGGCAATATTTGAAGAAATCTGTATGAAATCAGCTTCTTTCATTCCGGTTTGAAAATGAATAATTGTATTTGAATTCCTATGCTGTGATATAATTCCTGGAAAACATTTTTTGATTTCAGCTTTGTTCTGAAGCGTTCTCGGCTTGTCATTTATTACTATACAATATGTATTTTCATGTATCATATCATGATTATTCCATAAAAAAGACCATGCAACTTTCTTGTTTTACCAAATCCTACCAACAGTAAATATTGCGTGAAGTATATTCCTTTCATTTATCTACGAAAATAATTCCATGCTATTCGTGGGTATAATTATACGATTACCCACTTGAAATTCTCTTACGACAGATATTATCATATAAGTCTTTCCTATATCTATTGAAAAATCACTGTAAGACTATTTCCAATTGCTTTTTTGCCACACTTATTATTTTTTGTAAGATATAATTCGTACATTAAAACAGTCAGTCTTCTCTTGAAAAGTTAATAGATACGTCAGATTTTATACAAAACTATGATGATTGGTTAGCATAACAAACTCGTCAAATTTGAAGAATCTAATTAGAAACTGAAGAGGGTTCATTCAATTATCAAATTCTTTATAATTTATTCAAAACGGAACTCATGAAAATGCATACTTTATGCGACGTTTCATCGTTTAGTTAAAGTATAGCTGAATTTTCAGTTTTAGTGTTTGAAAATTTGTACAAACACTCTTGAGTTTGAATTGATTGAACTCGTTCAGAACTCGTTAGTACACCAGAGTTAGTATGGAAAATGGTTAAGTGAATTGAAATATACAATTCAAAAATTTTTACTCAAAAAGTGTAGATTTGTGGGATTTGAGTCTGGTTATAGTAGTTAATAACATTCGAAACAAGTGTTTTGTTTCGTTCAGCAACTGTATCTGGCTCAGATTAGAGTAGTTTCGAATTAAAGGAGTATATTAATTCCGCTTTCGAAAACTCCTCTTTCAATTTTTTGGACGGTATTGGACTATCCTACTTTCGAAACCCAAAGGATTCAGTGATTTTGTTTGTTTAACCAATCACTTCCTAGCTGAGTCTATAAAATTTGATTTTTTTACTTGTAATATCACTTCAAAAATTTAAATTCTTCATTATTTTGGTTTCATTTTCAATGTTTTTATTATTTATTTGTTCGGTGAGAATAATAAATATGTATCTCGTCGATTGAACTAGCTCAACTCATTTTCACGTGAAACTTGACTTTGTTAACATATCGTTTAATATTTTTTTCAATTCTCATTTCGAATACTGACTAGATTAGATATCATTTCATGATCTCATCTAATGCCACTGTTTGTTTGTTGTTTTTGACCTGCACTTATTATAGCGTGTCATGGTCAAAATGATGATTTTCAGGTGCGATCACAAAGGACAAAAATCATTTCTTATTATTATCGATGATCAGTAGTAATATTGTCGACATCGTCATCTATTATGGCCAATAGTACGCCAGTAATGATGAATGGATTCACAATATACTTGCATACGTTCTTACAATCTATAAGGTTTTATCAAATGATACTGCCTCAAGATATGACTTTCGTACGAACATTGTATTCGATCAAAAATCATGTAACTTGACAAGTAGGATTGGAACCTCTCGTGTGATATGAATCTGATGAAAAGTTTACCCAAACACCAGAACTAAAGTACTTTTTTTCAATTCGCATTGCATCATCATCATCATTCATGATAGGAATCGCTCGTTGAAAGGTAAGACCTCGTTGATTCTTAGCTCGCATAAGTTTCGGACTTTTGAGGGTTGTCGTTCGTAGGGAGAAACAGTTGGTTAATGAAAATACAGGTTTTTAACCGATCATCATCATCGGGATACGACTGAAATCAGTTTTAATGGAGTCGTCGTCGTCACCACCATCATAATAATATGAAGATGATGCTGATTTGGTTACGTGTCGAGAAGAAGTGCTATACTTCTGATGCGTGTGAATATTGTTTTCATTAGGATTATGGACTATTCAAAAGAACTTATTATGGATAAATGGTTCATGGCAATTTGAATATGCGACTATAACTTGCTTGAAATTCAATAAAATCTAGTAATTTTTTGATAGATTAATGCCACGAAATAAAAATAATTTCAATTGAAGTAACTAAAACTGAGCTAACTACTACAAATTTGTTAAATAAAAAAAACTCACTGATGTTTTTAACAAATACTATCCTAAACACATACAGCGTGTCAATTTGAAAACGTACCAACCTCTATATCTCTGTCCATATAGAAAACTAAAAATATTCATGAATACTTCAAACTTTCGTATGCTAGTTTCAAATTGAAGTACATCAATACTCTAGCGGGGGCGGATACAACCTCTGGAATTTCAAATGGAAAAGGGAGTTGAGTGATATCTAATTCTGAATATCGTTCAGCTACCTTTTCAAAAATACCACATACTCCACCTCTTTTGTTCGCGAGAAATCTGGGAAAAACTGTAAATAAGTGTGGATATCGAACATTTTGTGATATCACTTGATTGAATTGAAACGGAAAAAACTTGAGTTGAATTACATAACGGAGAATGTTTGGAGTATCTGTACCTGTACGGGGGAGGGTGAGTGTAGACCCACAGCACTTAGGCCACATGTGACCCATTGTACATCCTCCCAAGGAGTTGTCTTTCCAGGTAATCGTCCATCCTGTCCTTTCCAGGAAGGTGGACAGGTGGACAGGTGACGATAACTCCGGACATTCGTATAGAACATGTCTGAC